TTTTTTTTTAATTTAAATTAAAACTTTAGCTTATAAACAATAATAAAGTAATCTTTTTTTAATGAAGATATTTAAAAAAATAATAATAAATAAAAAATAATTAAAAATTAGCTGGACCAATAATGGTGTCTACATTGATCATAGTAGTAAGATGATTAAATGCAGAAAGTGTGTAAATTTTAATTTCAAAGGATAAATTCATACAAATCGGCTACGGTCATAAAAAAAATGAACATAGTATCTATACCTATCAGAAGACATAACAGGCGCATGTCGTCATAGATCAGTATGCACTAACATAAATGGAGCAGTAGCTCGTGAACTAGATAGAGGTAGAGGCAGACCATGAGATTTATCGTATTTGCATGCTTCACAAAAGTTGACTCATTAGCTTTCATGGACAGATTACAACGTTTAGTTAAACTTCTAAAAACTTGAGAAGACGGATGTCCAAGTCGACGATGTCAAACGTCTTTGATACCACAACATTTATACTACTACATGATTTGGGAAGAGACACAGAACAAATAGTTTTATTAGCAGCCAACTCCAAGCCACAGTCAACTGGAGTCGAAGTACTCCCAGTGACTACTCCAACTCTATTGAGGCGGTAAAGTCTATCTCTAAGAGCCCCTTTTAGCACTACCTTGCCCGAACGTATATCCTTCACAAGATAAGAATCAGCATGAAATTTAAGGTATACGTTATTGTCTTTAGCGAGTTTGGACACGCTAACTAGATTTTTAGCTATGTTAGGTATGCACAACACATTTTCAAGCATGATCAACTTACCGTCAGAAACTAAACAGGATTTACCAACATGAGATATTTTTAATTTATCGCTATTACCTACTGCAACTCTTTCCATACCTCCATATTCAGTAGGTTGAACCATACTGTTGTAGTCCGTGGTGACGTGATTTGAAGCACCACTATCCACATACCAATTCGGGTCTACCACTGTTTCTGGATTGGCCAAAAAAGAATTGTTATTTTGGGTTGCTGTGAACGCATAAGATGTACCTTGTCTAGGGTTGTTGTTGTTAACCCCCTTGTTAGAGTCGTCGTTGAAGTTTTACTCTTGACTTTGTGTATTGTTCCTGTACTCGTTATCAAATCGATGGTAGCACGCTAGTGCTGAATGTCTAGGTTTACCACACACTTGACAAATTTTCCGACTATTGTCATTGTTCCACTGTCCTCTACCTCGATTCGACCACCTCCCGACTGTTGTTGAATGGTGGCCGAGAGTTTTGATTTGGACATTGATTTCTACCACTTACATTTCTGCTACTATTATCCATATTCACTACTGTATTTTTATGAGAATTCTGAAGTTCTAACATCTTCTCGAATACCAATAATTCGTCTTGCATTTCAGACCACGAAATGCCTCTTTTTCCTTGGATCGTTGCTACCACATGATTATACTCTTCATCTAATCCTAGTAAAACTTGAGAAATCAAAGATCGAGTGGGTACGAGACTTCTAGCTTGACCCAAATTGTCTGCATGACACAGCATAACACCTAAAAAATCAGTTGAAAGAACCTTTTCGCGGTTGAAATACCTGACAGAGATAATATTCTTCCACCTGAGACTGTACTTCAAAGAGTTCTTGTATGGCAGCCCATAAATCACGAGCATTTTCATACCCCATCACCTGTGTTGCAACTTCTAGAGTCATAGAATTGTACAACCAGCCAAGAAGTAGTTGGTCGGTAGTTACCCATGACTAATATAGTGGATTGACGGCTGCTTCCGTTGCTATAGACGAACTATATGGTGCAGATGTGCTCATTTGGCTTGTTTCCATATTACCAATCGACTGTTGCACAAACATAGGCGAGCATGGGTGCTCGTCGGAGATGTGGCTCTCTAGTTTGTAACTTCGTAGTATGGGTAGGGCTAGGTTTTTCCACAACAAGTAATTGCTTCTATCTAGTTTTTATGGCGATTTGGTTGATTGAGTGGTGGGCTGCTAAAGGTGGGGTGGGTAGAAGTGTTGGAGGAGGCGTTGACCATTACAGCTCTATACTAAGTAAACATTTCACAAGAGGAAGTTTCACACTGAAGGTATGAAGGTAAGATGTTTGTATTTGTTTTCACTTTATTATTATGATGGTACTCAAAGGTCATATTTGTACAAAAGTGTATCCTAATTTTAGAAGAAAAATAATCTAAACTTAACAAAAATATTGTAACAAAAATGCACAACAACTTTTAACAATAGATCTTCTTGATTTGACTATGACTAGGTGTGTGGCTTCAACTTTCTTGCGGAAGTTACGTTAACAATTAATTGGGTGTTGTATATCCATCATCTTGCTTCTCTATTCGATCTCATTTGCACATCAGTGGTAAAATAATAACGTAGTTAATTTCTCTTGCAAAAAAGGTCATCAATAGTGTTTATCTTCGTGTTTCTGGTTGCACTCTTTCCCCCACTACAAGAAATATACCTTTTTATAGCTTTTTAATATAGCATTTTTAAATTTAGGATATGAAAGGTAAATAAAACAGCGGAGGGAAAATTTAAAAACACGGGCCACAAATTTTTTCAATGTTTCCGCGTCAAAATTTGTTAGCGTCACTAATTTCTATTCCTCATTTTTCATCTTCTCGTGAAAAGCCAAACAAAAACAAAAGCCCTTGTGAGACATTGTGTGGTCGCCCCTTCTATCCTTGCTCTAGATCTGCACGCCACATCGCTGCCTCCAGACTTTCCTTCAACATCTGCACGCTACCGCCGTCACCGGCACCTATATCGTCGTGTTCACGAAGTTGCTCCTCTTCATTCACTTTTGTCGGTTCTCCAATTTTTGACGTTGTCGCTGTCAGGTTCACGCTGCTGTATCTGCTGTCAGACTCCTCTTCATTTCCTTGAGGTTCGTTTCGCTATTTTTATACTTCTACTACTAATCATCGCCTATGTTGCTCTTTTATTCCCCGATTTTAGATTTGTTTTTTTGATTGGAGTTTCCAGATGATGGGGGTATGTCTGTCCAGTTGGTGTTCTGATTTTTCTACTTCGTGGTTTTTCTGCTTTGTGTTTTATGATTTTTAAGAGGTGGAAGGTTTCTCTCAGCGTGGGTGATTGATTGGGTTGTTTGTGGGTTGGAGTGTTCTGCTCCCTTAAGCTTCGGTGTTTATCCATCATTCACAAAATAAATTCTATATTTGCAATCTCCATGCTTCAATCTAACTTGAGATTCCTATATTTTTAATGTGCTCCTTTGGTCTCTATTTTATGACTAAATTTAGAAATATCTAAACTTCAAAAAAAAATTATAACATTAACGATGGACAATAGTATTAGAAACACATTGTTCGGTTGTGATAAATAAGTTTAATAATAAAATATATTTTCGAGAGATTTCTCCACGAATAAGAGATAATTTGTAATAAGTGATTTCTTTTAAGATCAATATGCATTCTGTACATTGTCGATCTTTTACCAGATTCAACAAATAAGGCACCATCAGAATAATAAGATTATGGCAAAAAGAAGACAAAGATTTTGTTATATATGTAAGGTTGAAGGATGACAAATCATAGAGATAAAGGAGGGGAAATAACATTATTAAGAAAATAGAGACTCAGGCTTAGGGATTCTGAAATTTGTATGAGCAAAATGAGGGCCAACACAAAACAGTCGGTTGAGGAATCTGAATAGCTAAACCAAACCAAAACCAAAACCAACTGAAACCATGATTAGACACCCAAGATATGACCAAGTTAAAAAAAAAAGTGCAACAACTTATTCGATTCTCTTTCTACCATAGCACCAACCAATTAATACAATCAAACTTATATAAGCCCATAATTTTATGGGTGGCTGTGTTGAAGGTAGCCACCGAATTAAAACCAAGCCAATTGAAGAATATGATTTGTTAAATTTTCATCGACAGAGGTTTGTCTATTTATTTGTTTGGTAATTTATGGTTTTGGATTATTTGGATTTGACTTTGGCTTCAGCTCTGGCTTTGTGATTTCTATGATGCTCACGAAGACAGAAGAATTCCATAATTGACTTTGGCTTCTATAGGGTTCATTGAGAGAATGGATATGGAGCTCTATTTCATGTCATTTTGAAAACCAAAACCTTAAATATATTTCATATCTAGTAAAGTTCCACTAGCAAACGATTACTCATGCAATAAAACAATATAATTTCATTCATACTTAATGCCATCACATACATTTAGCAAAAAGGAAATTTTTAAATATTAATGACTATGCCTAGTACAAACTTTTAAGGATTCCAGACAGACAATACACCAATTCTAGTAATCAATCATAAGTTCAACAATGGATTGAAATGTAAAAAAAGTCAAAAAAGCAAATCCCATTGACCATATAGTTTCCAAGTGATGATGCTATGAACTATTTGATGAGATGATTGGATTGCTTTACTGTTCATTCCTTTCAATAATGGGAGCTCTTATTATTCTTACAGCAGGGCATCACAAATCTTGTCTTTGAAGTTTTTGTTGGTGTAGCAAAAATTCTTTACCGCAAGTGTACGAGTCAAACTTTAATAAAGTGGTAAGTCAAATACCGATATCATCTTCTGGATTGGGTTTCTAGATCACTCAAATACCACAGATACAATCGATCAATTTTATTTAGAGAATCAAAATCAAATTGGAAAATATAATCAAAGGAAATAAACATGCAATAACAAAGATAAAAACAATGGAGAGAAAGGTCCTAGGGAATTGATTTCACCTATTGAATATATGAACCAACTACTTAATTAATCAAGATTGAACGAATTATTAATTCTATAGGCCAAGAACTCTCAAATCTCAACTGTCTCTCCCGAGCGCAAGCTAATTCTCCTTACCAATTATGAAACCAATATCTCTATCTAGTTTCTATAACAAGTAAAGGCTTTATTGAACAAGTCTTTTAATGACCTCTAAAGAACTTTTAAATCTCCCGATCTTAAAATCTCTTTAGTTATGCATCCTAGTTGTAACTCTAAACCTCCTCTCTCGAGCGTAAGATTTCAAGTCTAAAATCAATCAAGCTATGACCAGTAGATTAGAGAAGCACAAGTAGAACATCCATAAACATTCAATCGAGAAAACTAAACAATCAATGCATAAAGTTCAATGGCTACATCAATCCTTAATATAAGAGGTTTAGCTTCTCATATTCAATGGAAAACAATAAAATCACAATGAGAAGTCCATAACAAAACTAGAAAAACCAAGGGAAAGGAGAAGAAACTATGTTCCGCGTGTCAATCGTCCGTTCCTGAAGTGACCTCCACGATCTCGAGCCTTGAAAATCACTTTTCTAAGGTCTCCTTGCCCTCCAAATTGGCCAAAAGGCAAACTGCCAAAAAACCTCTCCCCAACTCCTCCATTTCGGCAACTGCACAACCCTATTTTTTATAAAAAGTTGTCGCAGCAGCGCCATGGCGCTACACTATTCACAAAACGCAAAATTTAAACTTCGGAGCGCTGTGGCGCTCTAGGCCAGCGCCGTGGTGCTATCTTCTCGGGTTTTTTGCTCCAAATCTTGTTGTTATTCATCTTGGTCACTTTGATTCCGATTTTTCTCTCATTTTGACCCAAATAAGTCTCGTTTCCTCCCGATACTTTATTCTTGTAAAATATATCTTATGTGCTTAAATTTGTCATGAAGAAACGAAAACTAACAAATAATTTCAATATAAATCTCATGAAATGTAGCTCACAAAGTGTGCTATCAGTTGGTCATGACCATCTTGAAAATATGCATTAATGAATCTATAAGATATCAACTTTGCCTTGTTCGACTAATGAAATTGAAAAGTTTGTTGCATGTGTGAACCAATGGAAATATATTGGTGCATGAGTTGTTGACAATGATTGAATTTTTTTCTTTTTCTTGACACTTCAATCCTTCTTCTATTAGGCCACCTTGGAGTATTAGTTAAGCATTTGAAGTCTTCTAAAACCTTAGATACTCGGACAGAAAATAATGAAGATCGGTCTCGAGTCGCTTAGATGAATCAGAGTTACTCAACTTTTTCTTAACAAAGAGTCATAATACTATACCCTAATTTACCTTTTTCTTGAAAAATAGTATAGTTTGAATATTTTTAGTCAATGTAGATGAATGAAACGATTTATTTGAAGAAAGGATTAGGTTGCATATGGGCTTAGTTTTGTGGGTGTAGCTAGTTGTAGTTTGCTGATGAATCTTTTCTGTTTGTTAATGTTATATATAGGTGTTGGAGGTCCTTTCCTCTCTGGAAAAACAAATCAACTTGATTTCTAAGAAGTAATTTATAATTATTTCTAATGTGTAAAAATTGTCCCACTAACACTAGCATCTAAAGTTTCATGAAAACCACCATCAATTAAGTTTGGTTGTGTCATAACGGGATAGATGAAGGTTTTAGTTTCATGGCTTTCAGCAATTTGTGAGGCTTTAAGAATTTGTATGCAATTGTGGTTCATGGGTGCAAGAATCTATATATAAATCGTTCAAATGTCACCTTGTGCAATTTGATGAATGTTGGGTTCAATTTTGGAAACGATTTCTTTGCTACTATCATGGGATTTGTCTGTTGTCATGAGTTATTTGTTTGTTGTCACGAGCCTTAGCTATTGTCATATGCGAGTCATTTAAATTTGTTTGTGGTCATGTGTCTTAGCTACTGTTTGGGTTTTTTCGAATCTAATTGTCTTATCCTTCTAGATTTGTCATTTTTCACGTCAAAATTGCATAGGAAATTATTTTTTTAAGCCCATGGTACAAGTTTATTGAGCAAATAATCTATTTGGTCCAAAAAATCAATAACAGGAACAATCATATTTGCCTACATTTATCTTTATCCTAAAATTCTTGTTTATTTATTCACAAAATTTTCATGCAATGATTTCAGTTATGTTTCTATTTTTTCACTTTAAACTTTTGAGTTTTTACTTGCGGTTTTGTCTAATTTTCTTATCGCTGCATCTTTGGTGTGTTTTCAAAGACAGTTGGAAGAATTGAAGCAACACAAGGATGATGATCTTCCTAAAGTTCAAGTAGTGAAGAACCAAAGGGTATGTCAATATTTCTGTGCTTCAATTTCATGTTCTACTTATGAGATTCATTTTTAAGTGTAATGGAATAAATTGGTTGAAGTTATATTTGGTTTTCAAAAATTCCTGGTTGGTCTAAGCTTGTAAGAATATTTCCTTTCTGATTTTAGGCTTTTTGGGACAGAAATCTTGAGTTGAGATTTTTGCTTCAAAAGGCTTCTCTGGTTCAAATAGATTGTCAAAGGTCTCTATGCAGCAAACTACAATTCCTGAAATCTATTCTTTTATATTGCTGAGTAAAAATTTTGTTCAAAATAGTCTTTGATTAGGTAATTTCAAACAGGTAGGAATTATTATGGAACTAATTCCAAGGATTAGGTAATTTGAAATGTATTTGAAGGTACTTCTACCTACCAGGGTTTTCATATTGAAATGTGTCAAGTCTTGTGGGTGTCTTCGTGGACTTATTTAGTTACTTGTGTATTATTAGCAAGTTTAAGCTTATTATTCGGATGTTTGGGTAGTTTTTAGAGCTTAGCTAACCTTTCAAATTGACTCGCATCCTTGCTTTCTTGTCTTTCTTTGGGGATTAGAAACGACGTGTATTGAAAAAGTTTTGGATAGTACAATTGCATGACTATTGATTACATTTCTTAGGTTTACTTATGTTCATGTGTCATGTAATGGTGAATATTGTTATTTATTTCGCTATTGGTATTTAATTACAATTTTTTTATGTTTTCTTGAAATGTTTTTGTAGGTGAATGAAATGATACCAGTGCATATGGATCAAAGATTGCAACTCATTTTCTACTCCATATTGCTTTATTCTTCAGAACTTGGTGAAAATTTTGTAATTTTGTGAACTAATAGTTGGGAATTATTTTCCGTAAATTTATATAAAACATTGTTTATCTAATAATGAATGCTTTATTTTGTGATGTAATTGATAATAAAACTTCATTTATCTAAAGGATGTGAGGGTATATTTAATGTGTCAAAGTTAGTGATTTTCTATGTTTATTTAACTAACTAGTTTTGAAGTAAATTTGATTGAACTACACATAGTCTACATAGCAAAAGCTAAATGATATTAAGAAGTCGACCATGATAATTATAGCAATGGAAAAAAAAAGTATAGAAATATATAATAATGCAATATAAAAGCTATATATACATAATATAGTAGCGTAAATAAAAAGCTATTATAAGTTTAAGATAGCATATAAGAACTATTAATAGTCCTATGATAGCACTAAAACAAAATTGAAGATAACACAAAAAAATGAGCTATCGTAGGTTCAAGATAACACAACAAAAGAGCTATTATATGTTTGAGGTAGCAAAAAACAAAGAGCTATATAAACATATAATAGCGTTAAATTAGAACGCTATTAAATGTTTTCATAGCAACGTAAATATGTAATAATTTTTTTATTTATTATAGCGTTAGTTATAGTCCATGAAAAACGCTATCAAAAGTCATGGAATTTTAATAGCATCGACTGTCACGACCCTCCAAAAACGCTATAAAAAGTCTTTTATAGCGTTTGTTCACGAGCTACCGTATCCACTTTTTCTTGTAGTGCCCTTTGGTTGTTTGTCTTGCTTGAAGATGAACGATTTCAAAAATATATCGATGTAGCCAATTTGACTTTATCTCCTATTATTTAATTGAGGTGNATGTATTGAATTATAATGGTTATGGATTAAGTTAACTTAGTAACTATTTCGTTTTTTATATGATTTTTTATTAATAATTTTTGAAAAACATAGTTTTTTGGTAATTCACTCAATTTTTTAATATTTTGAAAAACAAAATTCAAAATACATTTTAAAAACCCAAAAAACTAATTTTTAGAAACATATTGATTTTTTTCCTTCAAAATTTCACTTCTTTTTCCCCTCCTCACTTATGTTTCTTTTTCCCCTCTTCACTCTCTCCAAAAAAAAATCTCTCTCTTGCAGATGTAGACCCAAGGAGGGCCAGACAAATTTAATAAAATAATTATCTTTCTTTTGTCAATATAACATTTCGATCCATTTTAGTTTTTAAATTTAAAAAACCATACGTTCGTCGTGGAACTTTTAAAATGTCCATATAGTCGTCTCTATAAATTAAAAAAAAAAAAAAATTTTGGTATTACTATTATTCTACAACTTTAAATCTACCCACCCAATATCTCCTTTTGCTAACTCATGCAGCTCCAATCTCCATGCCATCACATTAATCGACAAGTTTATTTATTTATTTATTTTTTTTATTTTTAACCGAACTAGTCAGATCTGTGTTTCAATTTATAGCCATTTCAAAATCAAACTTATTAGGAAAAAAAATCAAATAATCAAACTCAAATATTAATTTTATTATCAGGTCATGTACATTTATTATGAGCAAATTTTTACATTCATCAACAATGAAGGTAGAATTGAAAGACGTTCAAATATAACCAATTAAATTAAAACTATTTAAACAATAATGACTAAATTAAAAGGAAAAACATGTACATATAAACGTTAAGAATTAAAACATAAATTTAGTCAAATATCTTCAAAAGATTAAGTGAGAAAATTATATATTTAGTGTTTTTTTTAAGAAATCTATTTAACGTTTTTATATATAAAGAAACTTTGAAACATAGAGAAAGAAAACATGGGATCTGAGATAGATTTTTGAATAGATTAAGTTCGTAGAATTCAGATACAACTTTATTCTTATAGGAGAGCGAAACATGAAATATAGATTCTAGGCCGTCAATCTAAGTAAATTCAATCGGTTAAGACACCTATCTCTGCTCCACCCCATACGTTGTACTGAAAAAAAAGCATATGTTCTATGCGCAGCTAGCCACGGTGGGTATGGTAGCCTTGCATTGTCGAGCAATTGCCCTAGCACCGGAGGAATTGATATAATCTTTCAACGATGGATCGTTGAGGTACTTACAATAGCATGGTTCGTGCTCCTTCAGCTTTGCGCAACAATTCCGTGACGGCGGTTGTGAGAATAAGAAAGCAGACGCACATGGCCCAGTGAGCTCCGCAGGGTCGCAAGTCACGGCAGCTGCCAAATGAGTTCTGATGATGAGAACAGCCATCGCGAAAAGAAAAACACTTGTTGTAGAACTTTTCTTCATTATTTTTGTAACTTGGGAGGATAATTTGTTATGTGGAAGGGAAAAGAAAGTAAAGAGGAATGTGTGTTTGCTGATGCTTTCAACCAAGCTATTTATAATATAAGGACGGTTCGTTTCGTGGGAGTCTAAGATTTATGTTGGACGGACATCTCGATTTCGATGTTTGTTTTACGGGAACGTAGGATATTCAGTAAACTTGAGATGTCCGAGTATCCTAAGATGCCATATGGAGAAATCTTACCAGTTTTAGATGTCCTTTTGAAACAATGAGTTTCCAAGATTCCACTAACAGCCTCCCATCTTTACATTTTTGCCCAACATTTTTTTCCATATATATTTCTTTCCTCAAAAAAATTCTTTATTTTTTATTTTTAAATTTATAATTTAAATAAATTAATTTACTCACCATCGTCTAATAAACAATTTTATACAATTAAGTATATTTATGTACATGTAAAATAAACTGCAATTAAATTATATAATATCTACATTTATTTTTAATATTTTAAATGAATTATATTATTAATAATATTTATTATCATAAATATATAATTTTAAAGCAACAATTTTTTTTATAAACGACATAACTATGATATTTTTTCTCTTTAAAATAAATATAATATGATGGTATGATAAATAAATTTCACTCAAGATAACATCAATTATATGATTGTCTTTTTTGAAAAAAAATATTAAAATCTATTCTACAAAATAACATATAAAAAAGTAAAATATTAAATTAATTATAATAAATAGATTTATAAATTATATGAATATTCGTAAGTGTGTTTTTGGAACATTCTACGTTAATAAATTTTTTTAAAACAAACGTGGTTATTCAAATATCTCCAATATTTTTATAAATAATGATATTGGGCATCTACATTTCGAAAAAACACACGGTCCCTAAATATGTTTATAGATAAATAGAAAAAATTACAAGTAATTTAACATATACTTTCCTCTGATTCAAAAGTCATGCGAGCAGAATAGTAGGCGCAAAAATTACCTGTGCCATGAGCACCAAAGTTTTAGACTTAAAATTTAATAATTAGAAGAGATAAATGGGACAACGTGTGCACAAAATTTACCACCCTTTCTATTCCTTTTCCCACTTTTCATTTTTCAATGCCCTCTTGCTTGTTTGACTTTAGGAGCATTTAATTCGAGTTAATTTTCATTTATTAATATTTCGACTATGGCCTTTACGACTCAAAAAATGTCGACTATGCTATTTAAAGAATTAATTAAATATTTTTTATTTTACCAACAAAATATTAATTATAGTAATAGAGATTATTGTCCTTATCTATGTACATGGATCACTTCATTATCTAACCAACAATATGAGACTTTATTTGCATTTCTTGGACTTCAGGATAAGTGCAATCATTTTTAAGTTGCTTAGAGCGGGGTAAAACTATAGTCTGATCAGGATATTAACTAAGATACTTTTGTTATATGCCTTATACTCAATTGAAAAAATCATAATATATATTGTGTGGGCTCTATTAAAAGATGCCATGAAGTTTCTTTTAAGGCTAAAAATATCAAGACTCCCAATCTTTTAGTAAATTTTTAATTTGGTCTTCGGTCCTTTAAAAAGTTTACCCCTAATTTATTAAAAATAATCAAATATAAAAAATGAAGGTTAAAATATTACTTTGGTCACTGCCATTTAATTTATTTCAGTTCATATATTCTGAAAATATTTATTTTGGTTTCTACACATTTAAATTTTTGTTTATTTTTGTCTCTGTGCTGTGAAAATGTTTATTTCGGTTCCGGGGTAGATTTATGCAGCTACTTAAATCTGCTTTTTTTTCCTCATCTTCATCCTTCGGACTCTCATATTCCTTTTCTCATTTTTTTTCAATTTATTTATTTATTTTTACGTACAGATCTAAGCCCTAGTAATTTCTTTCCAATTCAAAGGAGATTTAAGGTATGATCTTCTACATAAAATAGCTCTTTTATCCTGTACTCCAATAATAACAATAATAATAATTATTATTATTTTAAAAAATAGCTCTTCTATCTTAAATTGAATTACTTTTAGATTCATGCATATTGTTGATGCTAATTTATGAGTGAGGTCCATACGTAGGTGTTGTTAAGGATCCCACATTGATAAAAGAAGAGACTTAACAATGATTTATAATAGACATGAGCTACTCCTCTAATTGCCAATTAGTTTTGAGATGGAACCCATGAATATTAATATGGTATCAGAGCGGGAGGTCCTATGTTCGAACCCATAGTATAATTTCCACTTGTTGGGTCTTGATTAATACCATATAAAGGAAATCAAATAATACCAAATAACTTAAGCTTTTGAAACTATTCTTAACATGGTATCAGAGCCACGACTTGGAAAGGGGGAAAATCAATTGTGGAAATCACAAACTCTTCCACTGATAAGAAGTCTGGGGATTGAGCACCATTTGAAATCTGAAAATATTTATGAAGAGTTCACCATCGACAAAGAGACAAATCCACAGTTCACTCAATGGACGAACAATGATGGACTTCTTGTCTCTTGGCTTCTTGGCACAATATCTGAAGATATCCTTGCAATGATAGAAAGTACTGAAACAGCGCAACAAGTTTGGTCATCCTTGGAAGAGCAATTGCTCACCATGAGCAAAGAAAATGAAATTCACCTAAATGAAACTTTACTCACCTTGAAAAAGGGCAGCCTCACCGTGGATGAATACCTAAAGAAGATCAAGAGCATATGCGAGAAGAAACCAGTAGACGATCTTACAAAGGTGTTCCACATTGCTAGAGGACTTGGGAGCAATTATCAAGGATTCAAAACAGCCATGTTATCCAAAGCTCCATACCCCACCTACAATGAGTTTGTTCTACTCTCAAAGGACATGAAGTAATGTTAAAATCTGCACTAGAAGAGGAAAGACTCACACAACCAAACCATGAACAAGCATTCTACTCTCAAAGAGGTAGATTTAGAGGTAAAGGAAGATATTTTTCTTCGAGAGGAAGGGGTTTTCCTCAAGGTAGATCATCAACATCACCCAATTTCATAAACATCCCTACTACAGTGGACACCATCCCTTCTGCTAGAGTTACTGATTTCAAGAGGCAGAACACTAAAATCAACCAAGATCAAGGTATGCCCAACTCTATTGTTCACAAAATTGAAAAACTAATATGTCAAATTTGTGGCAAAGGGAATCATACTGCATTGGATTGTTGGAACCGCTTTGATCACTCATATCAATCGGAAGAAATACCTAAGGCCCTTGCTGCTATAAATCTCAATGAAGGCGTTGATCCATTGATATATGCTGATTCCGGAGCCACTTCCCTCATGGTAAATGATCCAGGTAAGATCTCTCATCTACAACCTTATAAAGGACTAGATAAAATATACGTGGGTAATGGAAATCAGCTTGAAATTTCTCATATTGGACAAAGAAAGATAACTTCAGAAAACCATGAACTATCTCTTAAAAATGTTTTGGTAGTGCCTGAAATTAAAAAGAATTTATTGTCAATCAGCAAACTAACACATGATAATGATTGCTCTATCACTTTTTTTGCTGATTGGTTTGTTGTGATGAATCAACAGGGACAAATACTTGCTAGAGGCACGAGGACAGCAGGTTTGTATGCACTTGAGGAACAACATCCAGAGAAGTTTGAAGCTTATGTGGCTGATATAGTTAAAAATAAAGCTTCCCATTCTATTTGCATAAGAGAATGGGACATTTGAATGAAAAATACTTAAAATCATTGTATGCTCAACAACTTGTTGATATTTCTAGTTGGACTAAAGTAGACACTGTTTGCATTGCATGTCAAATAAGTAAGAGCTGTAAGTTGAGTTTTCAATCAAATATGAATTTATGCAAAGCTCCATTAGATAAAGTGCATTGTGACCTATGGGCCCCGCCCCTATAGCCTCCTTTCAGAATTATAAATATTTTGTTAGCTTTGTGGATGATTATTCTAGATTCACATGGATTTATCCCTTGAAAAGAAAATCTGAGTTTATATCTTGTTTTAAGAAGTTCAAACTAATGATTGAAAATCAAGTGGATAGGAAAATAAAGATCTTTCAAAGCGATGGTGGAGGAGAATTTACTTCATTTGAACTCAAAAGTCTTCTAGAACAAAGTGGAATAGTACAACAACTCTCTTGTCCTCATACTCCCCAACAGAATAGAATGGTGGAGAGGAAGCATCGGCATGTAGTCGAAACAGGTTTGGCTCTTCTATTTCAATCAAATGTACCTTTGAAGTATTGGGTGGATAGCTTTCTCACTGCCACTTTTCTTATTAATCGAATGCCAAGCCAATCTCTTGATAATGAAACACCTTTTCAACGACTCTTCAAGAGGCCACCCAAATACGATGGGATTAAGATATTTGGATGTCGATGCTTCCCCTACCTAAGGAACTATAGTAAAAATAAATTCTCTAAAAGAACTTATCCATGTGTATTTATAGGATATAGCCCAATTCATAAAGGATATAGATGTTTAGATACTAGCAATAATAGAGTTTATATTTCTAGACATGTTATCTTTGATGAATCTTGCTTCCCTTACATCAATAACACATCACACACAAATCACACCAACTCCTTGGAAGTCACTGATTTTGTAGGACTAGAAGAGTGGAAGAATCCCACAAAAATAGTAGAAGACACCACGAAGACAGCAAGCTTCACAATTCATCCTAATGCAGAGATTAATAAAGTCACAACGGCACCTTTGAGAAGAAATTTTATGTATGAAAACGAGGAGTTTCTGGAGGAAGGACGAAACAATACCCCAAATGTTGATCAAGACCAACACGATTTTGAATTGGGGACTAATAATGACTCAATACAACATTCTCTGGGTGAAAACCTACAACCAACTCAAGTTGAGGAAAGAAGTCAAGTTACTGATAGTCACTCCAACATGTTCCAGCAACCTCAAATTGAGGACAGACACCTCAATGGTCTGAATGAAATTACAACAATTGACTTGCACCAAGAACAAGCAGATATTGAAATCTCAACTGAATCGCCAATTGTCATGGAAAATATACAAAGAAGTGAATGCAGGAATCCACAACAGTCCAAGTCACAGGGAGATTATGAAAATTCTATGCCTCTTAACTTTAATGAACTACCTGATATTAGCAATGAGTTGTCTATTGAATTAAATATTTCTTCTGCAGGGAATATCCGAGACAACAACGAATGTAGAAACCTTACAGAAACTCAGTCATCACATCCTATGGTTACAAGACAAAAACTCAATAAGGACCCCTCCATTGACCCAATCTTGCATCAAGATGTTCAACAACTAAAGACTACCCATCGAAAAGTAACCTACCTAACACTTAACCCAGCTGTAGAACCAAAGGGGTACAAGACTGCACTACAAATTCCACATTGGAAGGCAGCCATGGAGGAAGAAATGACAGCACTCCATCAAAACAACACTTGGTCCCTTGTTCCAAGACTGGAACACGTCAATATTATAGGGTCAAGATGGATTTTCAAGACAAAATTAAAGGAGGATGGAACTATTGAACGTTATAAGGCACGACTAGTTGCTCAAGGATACACACAAGTTGAAGGTCTGGACTATGAAGAAACATTTAGCCCTGTCGTCAAGCTCACAACTATCCGAATAGTCATTGCAGTAGCCTTAAGCTTGGATTGGTCCTTAAGACAATTAGACGTAAAAAATGCATTCTTGCATGGAATTCTGAAGGAAACTATCTACATGGCTCAGCCACCAGGATTTGAACACCCACAACTACCAAATTATGTGTGCAAGCTCCACAAGTCGCTTTATGGCCTCAAACAAGCTCCGAGAGCTTGGTTTGAAAGACTATCCCAATATCTCTTACACATTGGGTTCATATGCTCTCGATCGGATCCTTCACTCTTTATTTATAAGAATCATTCCATCACCTTAATTATGTTAATCTATGTTGATGATATATTACTTACTGGAAATGACACTAATTCGATCAATGATCTTATTGTCAGGCTAGGTACGGAGTTTGCCATCAAGGATCTTGGACCCCTCAATTACTTCTTGGGTCTGGAAGTACAACAAACAGCCGGTGGACTCTTTTTGTCCCAAAGCAAATATGCAAGAGAGATCTTAGCTAAGAACAACATGCTCAACATATCTCACTTCAACACTCCAATGACTGTCTCTACATCTCAATTCCCCAATGACCAAGAGCCTGTAGATGCAACAACATATAGGAGAATTGTGGGGTCATTACAATATTTGACTTTAACTAGACCAGACATCACCCAGGCTGTCAATAAAGTGTGTCAGCAACTACAAAATCCAACAATGCAACACATGAGAGCAGTGAAGCGTATCCTTCGATATATAAAAGGGACCATTGAATGTGGTATGCATTTTCATACGGGAAGCTTATTTAACCTCTATGGTTTTTGTGATTCAGATTGGGGAGGATGCCCAAATACTCGAAGAAACACAACAGGATTTTGCATCTTCCTTGGAGCAAACTGCATATCTTGGACTTCCAAAAAGCAGCCCACAGTAGCAAGGTCAAGTTCAGAGGCCGAATATAGAGCAATGACATGTACAACTGCTGAAATCACTTGGATCTCCTTCATCCTTAGAGACATTGGCATCCAACTAAAACAACCTCCTCAGATATTTTGTGACAATTTGAGTGCTCTTTACATGTCCATCAACCCTATATTCCATTCTCGCACCAAACATATAGAAATGGACTATCACTTTGTCAGAGAAAAAGTGGCAATCGGATCCCCATTTATATGGATTCATTTATATTAATTTAGTATCAGAGCCCACAAGTTCAAACTAGCATTCGGTCCAAAATGGGATCCGATCCAAGATTGGTGAACCCAAAAGAGGCACCATCTTGAGGGGGCATGTTAAGGATCCCACATTGATAAAAGAAGGGACTTAACAATGATTTATAATAGACATGGACTACTCCTCTGATTGCCAATTGGTTTTGAGATGGAACCCCATGAATATTAATAGGTGTCACTCAGGTGTCACGTATGGCTTTGTCTCCGAAACATAATGTCTACACACGCAAAAATTTCACTGGTGTGGTACTCTGTCAACTGCATTTTGAGCAGAAATAGTAAGGAAGTAGAAATCTCGAGGGTGAGAAACTACTTGAGAGTGTATGTCGAATACTCACAAAGAGTTGTGTAGGAAAATGCAACTTATATTTATTAGGGTTTCCTCTTCCCTTTTATAAGGAGGGAGAGCCASAGAGAAAATTGTTCTAAGACAGAGGTTCCTCCCTTATCTTGGGTGTCCACCAGGGAGTAATATACCATGCCAAGGTTCTAGGAGGACAACCGACGTTTTTTGATACTTACCATACATCAGACAGGGGTGTGGCAGCATCTTGAGTTGTCCTCTAAGGCGTATAGCAATTTGGGTACAGAGTGTTAGCACCCTACCTCCTAGCTGTCCTTTATACGGGACGTTTAGGAGCACTCGACCCTGTTGTTGGTGCGCTTGATTGCTTTTCATTGCGTATATGATAAACTATTAGATTATTTATAGTACGTTCCAATGACTATTATATAATATATTTTTCATCTTAATCTTATAATATACAATATGATAAACCCCTCTAAAGGATTGTATAATATATATATTTTTCATTGTTCACTACAAGAAAAATAAGTTTCAAAGACACATAAAAAATGTCGCTGAAAACCCAATTTTGTCGCTAAAAGTTTCAACGACGAGACCTTGTTCGTCGCTAAAGATGTCGTAGATAACTCGTCGTTTAAAGTTTCAGCGACAATATATTGTGTGGCTAAAACTAATTTCAGCGACACCAAGGATCGGTGTCGCTGAAATTAGTTTTAGTGTCACGATATATTGTCGCTGAGACACATTTTCAGCAACATCTTCCTCTGTCGCTGAAAATATGTTTCAGCGACATCATTAAATGTCGCTATATAAAATTTTCAGCGACAAAATTGATTGTCATTGAAAACCAGTTCCAGAATAGGCAATATCCTGTTTTTTTTTTCAAATTTCTCCAAATGTGTAACATCCTATTATAACAAAAAAAGCAGTTTCTAGCTATAAATAATAATTTGTCTTAGATATTAACCCTAGTAGGTTATATAATTTATACTTTTTTTTATCAAACTTATAGTATGATAATAATATATCTCCAATGTGTTATACATACCCGATCTATACTCAATAAGATACTCAACGTATACTGCATATACATAATTTAATTAAAAGAAACATATGACCAACATATACGCCATATACTTAAAAATATACCCAACATATACTCGCTCTTTACTATAAAACCTATGGCCGCCATAGATTTGAGCTACTAGGTGCTGCTGCCGTAGATCTAGGCTACTGGGTGCTGCTATCAGGGTTCGAAAGTAGCTGCCCCAGCCCCCCTCCCCCCCTTTTTTTCCCCACGACACCCAAGCAACGGAAATCTACTGCTCATGGAGATCGAAGGTCGTATAGATCTGTGCCACCGCTCGTTGAATATTTTACCGAATTTAGTTCGCACGTTGCTTGTCGTTCGTCGCTGGTCGTCGTAGTCTGTGGAGAAGAAGCACTACAAGAAATCTGAGATTCGGCGACCAAATCTTCTGCGACCAAATCAAATTTAGTTGCCGAAAGTATTTTTCGGCGACCAAACCAACTTTCGTCGTCGAAGGTCTAGCTTTCGGCAAAGAAATCTTATGTGGTCACTGAAAGTAACAGCTTTTGGCGACTACGCATAATTTCGTCGCCGATAGTAGGACCTTCGGCGACAATTTTA